GGCTTTGCCCGCAGCCACCCGTTTCGGGTTTTTTTTTCTTTCACAAGCGCAGTAGCTGGTATTTTTGAAGTTACGTGCTCCCATGTGTCGACTTGTGCCGCAGCTGGTGTTTCTGAATCTCTCATTATTTTATGCAACAAAAATATTTAATTGAGGAATTGCTGGACAATGCTTACTAATTATTCAGCAGTTCGCTCAACAACTGTGGAGCCGGCTGCTTCATGGCGCTGCTCCGGTGGACTGAAATCGATGTGTTTCGTTGTGATCAGTGCCGTGTTGGCTACCATGAGCAGCCGCCCACATCTCAACGTAATTAACGCAAGACCTCCGACAAGGGTGGACAACTCTTTGGTGATGACGTAATCTTTTTTGAGATCATTCTGCAGAGCTTCAACGTCTTTAATCGGCACAAACATCCCAACCGCCCTGGCGTACAACAAGAGACAGCTATCAACAAAGGTTTGAGTGGTCTGGCGCCCACATAAGTCTTGTACCTTTTGTAGTACTTTTCAACATCTTTAGCTTCCAAGCGCTAAACCTGCTCTTGTGTCAGCTACACGCCGATGGCTTCTTTTGCTTTGCCTGTAGAAACCAGAATCGCAAGCTCTTCACGGAGGGCTGGAAAGTCAGGCCCCGGCAGACTCAAAGAGTCGGTCAGCGAATGACTCTTCGAGTCAGGTTCAGCTTCCAGAAGGCTCATGACTTCAGCTATTACAGGATCATTTCCTTCAGCCATCGTATATATTATAATTTTATTTTTTCCATTCAATTGCGAAAGGGTGGCGCAAAGAAAACACAAGGTGGGAGAACGGGCGCTCTTTCAGTCTCACAATCAGCTGCTTGTGGGCATCTTGGGAAAGCTCACCCGCGTATTCTTCGAAGATGGCCTTCGTGGTCTTGGCCTAAGGGGTGTAAAACAGCACAATGGCTACCGCATTTTCACGGGACGGCTTCGCGATGCTGGAGAACTACGGGGTCAGCACCCACACACTGATGCCGGCGTGGCGAGCGGAAAAGCCGAACTCGACCAGCTCTCCGGTCCGCCCTTTCATGTCTTTCGAGGCCGCACAGTCATCAAGGACTATGAGAGTGTTGGTGCCTTCGAAACACATACGTATCACTTTCAACCAAAGTTCCACTTCGTGCTGCTCGCAGATGATGACATACAACCGCGGGTCTCTCTCAGTGAAGCGGTACAGGGTCTTTTTATAAGTGAACGTCGGGCAGATGAACACGACGTAATTGAACCGGCCGCGAAAAGGGCCGCAGAGCTGGTCCACGGGGAACCGCGTTTTGCCTGGGTTGGTCGGCCCTACGATGAGCGCGTTGAAGGGGATCTTGACGGGGTTCATTTTATTTAAAGTTTACGCTTCTAAAACTACACAGATTCCAGCTGTCTGTCCATGATGTTGAACTGAGAGTCAGAGATCGGGAACACGTGGCAGTTCACGTTGCCCGAGCCTGAGGCTTTCCCCTCGATTTCCAGCTGGACGCCGTCGGTGGTGTTCACTAGCCCTGTGCCGCTGCCGTGCATTGTTTGGTCTGCCATGGAGCGCAGATCGATCAGAAGCCCGAACTTATTGTCAGTGTAGAACTTTTGAAGAGTCGTGTTCGGTTTTACTTTTTTCTTTCACAAAGAAGTGGCTGGCTTCTACCCACATGTCCTGCTTTCGATGCCATCTTTGTACAGCATGTTGGGCGGTTGATGGTGACGCTGACCTTTTTATGTCAAGGAAGACGTATTTTTCGGAGTCTCTGGTGCCTGCAGTAAACTGCTCTACGAAAAGCGGGAGGATCGCTTTCAGAAAACGGCTTTGGGAGTCGACTTTGATGCTCAGCCGCGAGTCTGTGTCCTTTCTGAAGGGCACCAATTTATGACGCATCACGTGGTCGTAAGCGAACTCTTTGCCGCCCCTGTACACGTTGCGCGCCTTGTTTGCGAGCGTCTCGCTGCAGATCATTTCGTACTCGAGCTGGATGTTGATCAGCTTGTATTTCAGCTTGGTGGGGTCCGTGCCTTTGACCACCTGTGAAGCTTGGGAAAGAGTCACTTCAAATACGAGATCACTGTAAAGGGCCTGGGGGTAGAAAACGTCGTGGTCTGTCAGCAGCTGCTGGTCCAGCCTGATGCGATACTTGTTTCCATAGATTTCGTTCAGCTTGTTTTCAGTGTCGACGCCCG